ATATATAATAATTTGAATGGATACGAAATTTTATATACCAAATTACTCGAAACAAACTCTAATTATACAAACCCAAACCAAAGTAGTTAGAAATTACTAAAAAAAATTACTTTGTTTCTATGTATTATATTTTTGATTTAATTAGCAGTATTTTATCTCATATATTTGATCTACTAATTTTTGACGTAGTTTTAGTTATAGGATGTTTTATGCATTTACCAAATTTTTAATTGCTAACACATATTTTTCCAAACAAAATCAAATAATATTATTTTSAATCTWWAATGTATTTAATTATATATCAACTATTGTTAAAATATATTTTGAAAAATTCTTTTACATATTCATAGATTTCAAATATAAATATAAAAACTAATTTATTTTACTTTTGTCAAWTTATATATAGAGAATTTGTATGTAGATTTAATTGTGAGATTTAATATTAAATTTCGAAATAGTTGTTTTAGGRAAYTTTATYAATATTCAAATTTGTTTGGCAATTGGATTTAGAGTAATGGTATGTAATATTTTGAAATAATTGTGGTTGGTAATGAGTATAAAAGAATTAAAGATATAAATAAAAAATGTTAAGAAAAATGTTTGGATAGTAGGATAGTATGAGATAATTATTATAGAATTTAATAATTAAAAAAGGTTTAGAAAATTTGTGGGATTGTATGTCATGTAACATCTGAGCAAAAGTTGCTTAAAATGCTTTTTCTTTAATATATAGAGGGTGTTACATGACATCGTTTCTCTTAGTTTTATAGGGGAATTGAGTTCTATATTATTTATTGGTTCTATATTTAATTACCTAACAAAACATAAAATAAATTTAAAACTAAACATTTTAATTATTTGAGATTTCAGTTTTACCTTTAATTTATAGTGGTCTTATACCTCATATTTTATTTTCATTATTATTTCATTTAAACATTATTTATCTCGTATCAATTTTATTCTCTCTCATGTCCAAAAATGATTAAAGATAAATACAAAAAATCAGTAGCCAACATCATAAACGTTTAGATTTTTTTATTTCTATTAATTATATATTTATTATGTATTTAGCCATGTATTCAATTATATTTATCTAAACTTTTCATCAATTAATTATATAGTTAATTATTTACCCAAATATACTTATCTTTATAATTATTTTCTATAAGTGAGTATATAATTAGCTACACAACTAACTATTTTTAAATATAATTACTTATTTATATTTATGTGTAGTTAATTATATACCCAAATATAGTTATCTATATAGTTAATTTTTTCACAAACAGTCAACTATACTAATTATGTTCACGAATAGTTCATTACTCACAAATAATTTACTATTACACATTTTCAGTGTATGAAACTTCAGGATTGACCAGTCTTTGGGATTCTTTGGCGGAATGTCCGTGCTCGTTATGTATAGGTTGCTTGGCCTGATCTCGAGTGAGGGTAACAGTTTTTTGATATTTAATCTTGTTGACTTTGTCCACGAGAGTGTGGATGGAATGTGTTACTCAGCACACTTGAGGAACTCGTTCAACTAGATGCCCCGTTCTGATGTGTATCAAATTTATGACTTATGAATTCAGCCTCTTCGATGCTTATCAAGATACACAGACCATTATCCCATAACACCTTTTTCAGTTCAGAGGGTTTCAGTCCCTTCTGCATCTGCTCGTTGCTATCGTCTCGGTTCGTGCACCGATTTCGCCTATTGTGAAGCAAAACCAGAGAAAGAAAAGAGAGAGGTGAAAAAGAAAAGATTGTTCATGAAAACACCGAAAGAAAATGAAGCTATATTTATATTGTATTGTATTGATTATGATGATAAAAGGTGAATTGCTAATTTTAAAAATGCTAATTCATTTTTATTGTTATTCCATTGATCGTAATTTCCTCTTCTGTTGTTGTTTTCGTGGTTAGACAACTAAGCCAATCTCGTTTTTTTTTTTTTGGTGCGTCTTTTTCGTATTCCTCGTTCTCTTTAATGACTAATTAGGCTTTTACCCGCGTTCAACGCATGCATTACGGTTTATAATATACATTT